CTTTGGCGCGGGCGGTTTGCTTTTTATACATATGTTGTTAGTTATGCATATTGCTCCCCACCGAGAGATTCACCTCATAATACCCTAAACACCCCTCGTCCCCTCCACCGTCGATTTCCCCTTCGCCAGAGCGGCGCGAATGCCGGTTTAAAAGACTTGCGGTTGTACCGTATACTAAATTTTAGCCTTTAGTTGTTTCCTTGTGTCAGCAAAAGTTTCCTGGAACAAAAAGCCAAAATTTCATTGGTGTTCTGTTTAGTTAACTGATAATTAGTATTCTATTTTTAATTGAATATTTGCTCTCTTAAAGCACCATGGCTTGTCATTATTGGGGTTCAAGAATATACTTTCCTAGAAAATCAGCAATATTTTATCCAGTCTTGAAGGTACAATCTAAAAGATGCAACTGCTTGATCCTCAGGCAACCAAATGTGAATCAATTGAAGATAAAGTGAAAAGTAATAGGAGACAATATTTACCATTTCATTAAATAAAATACAATTAAACTATTCAACAATAGGATGTTCTTCGGTAATTTTCCCATAAATATAGTGCACGTCTTGTGAAACACAGACCGTATTTCTTGAACTAATGACCCTGGCCGTTGACCTGCTTGGAAATGTTAATCAATTAACACAAACAAATTTTCACTGAGGTGCTTGCTCTGCGCTCCTGTTAAGGCTCATTGGTTGAACCTGCCCTAAATAGAGCAATATTACTTCAGGGAGTACAGTTATCAAATGGTAAATATGGAGGTTCTTATATATTTTTTCTTTGCTAAACTGTGCAAGCTTTTACCATAATTTTTTCACAATGTATTAACAAACATTCAGGAAAGGAAACAAATGTCAGTTTGAATGAAAATTATGATTACAATACTAATTAACAATGTAAAATGTCCACTAAAACAATGCTTCTATTCATGGTTTCTTCAGTAACAAGTTTTAATCAACATTTAATATTTATTTATTATTGGTTAGTGTAGATAGAAGATCAGGTTTCAACATTTACTACAAGCATTTTACTAGTTTTCATGTAAATTTAAAAAATATTATTCCTTTTTTAATTTACATTATTTTCCCTATTTAAAGTAATAGTAATAAAGTTGTTATTATTGTTATTGTTATTATTATTATTATTATTATAATAAAATATTCGTAACTTCCACAATTTTCCAGGTTAAAATATCATTGTAGTTGATGTTGATATCTATATGTAGAATGTTTCCTGAAAATTTGAAGTAGAAACATGAAAAAATGTTATTAGCAAAACCATTTTAAAAATGGACCTTTTGAGAAAATCTGTGTTAAAAGTTTGAAATTCATTTTACAGTACATTACAATAAAGTGTGTTGATTAAAAGTGGCCTCGTGCTTAGGTTAGTCCTCCCGTTTTTCAGCGCTTTTGAATCATATTGGAGCCTTTCTCTCGCTTTTCTTACCTCTTTTGTTCTTTTTCTCTGACAAGTATTCTCCTTGTGTATTCTCATTTTTCAAGCATATAATCATGTAGTAATGTCCTCTTGGTACTTCCAATTTTTTTCATTACTTTTTTCTTCCAACCATACCGTCTTGATGACAATATCTAAAATTCTTTTTCCAAAAAAGCTAGTCTTTGATAACACTTTCCAAATTTTTAAATGTAATTTTTATTTAAAATTACATTTTGTGTCATACCACCAATTTCTTTTCAGGTCACTTAGATCTTCGAAAACTAGTTTTATAGCTTTCATAACTGTCACTGGTATGTTATTTTTATGTCTGTATTTGTCAAACTTAATTCCTAGCACTGCCTTTGGATATGGGCACCAGGTGTCTGGTCCTTAAGGGCAAAGAGAATGCATTGGCATTTCTCAGCTCTTGTTGAACAACACGGCCCACACTTTTTGTTTCATGTCTTCAACATAAGAACTATTTGCTCTTGTTGAATTCCATAATAAAAGTAAGTGTTGTAATGACACTATATGTCAATTATAATGAAAGATAGAAGAATAATAAAGTGATAAAGTATGAGAAATTGCTAGTTCAAATATACAACACCTTAGTTGTATGAGAGATTTATGACTCAAGAGAAGATTCTAAGATTAAAAGGAGAATAAAATGCAACAGCATGAAGGGGGTTGGGGAGGTTTTACTTGTGGTAGATGTCACCTGCATAACATGAGATTTCGTACATAACTCCATAACCAATCGATGTATTGTTATGAAACCAATAGGAAAGTAAAGATAACAAAACACAATTTTTTATTGGTATTATTTTTAAAAAAATAATTGTTTTGACCTTGATAACTGTATGTAGCTCCTTAAATGGTTTGTACTGCAATGAATTCAGTGCACTGAACCACAGCAATTCTGTTTCTTTGCAATATACAAAGTGGTTAAAATTTGCAGCCCGTGGTATCCTAATTTGTGACACAAATAATCCCCAAATGCAAGAAAGTAATTCAGTGATAGACATGTGGAAAAGAACATACCAACAATAAATATATCCTTAATGGTTTTGGCCTTAGACGCCTACATTGCCACGGGAAGATATTTTAAGGGGGAGGGGATTAATTTTCCAAGAAGATTGCAACTTGTATGCCATCGTCACTTTTGTGTCCATTTTCAAGACTCAAAGCACTGTTAGTAAACAGTAATTGTGATGACCTTGGGTTGTGCATGATCTCGCTGAACTACCTGCAATGCAACTGTCATAATATGACTCCTTTATATCACAAAATATACCACAGTTCAGTCACTTGAGAAATTGTATTTTTCTTTTGAATGTTAGTAGAAAATGCTGTGGAGTAGCAAAGTTGTTTTTCAGCATAATTGCCCAAACATTTTTATTAGGAGGATTTTTTTTTTTTTTGTCCCCCCCCCCCACCGAAATGAGTAGTGTATTAGGTAGAGCTCGCTTATTAGCAGAGATGAATCTCAGGATACAATAGTACCAGTTCTGTCAAAAAATTACATTCCTATGAAACCAATCGCACCACAAACCAAATACAACCCAAGTCAATCATTGAGTTAAAACATTTTTTTTGCCTGATTTCATAATTCAATTTCAAATCGATTAAAATAACTCAACACACAAAGTGACTACATTTAATTTGGGACTTCACACTTTGTGGAACAGAGAAGGCCTTTTCTGAGGTCATGAATGCTAAGAACTAATGTTTTTTTAAGGTGGTTAAGAGTGAGATATTCCCTAGAAGTCCTCAAGACATTTTAACTTTAGTACTGCTCGAAGAAAACAAACAGCTTGCTTACTTCAGTAAATATTTGCTTTTTTTCTCTGTTCACTTACTCCCAGGGAGACTTTCTCCAATAAAATTCATTTTGCATTTACTAGAGTCAAAGTAGGTTTAATTAGTGAGATGTAAATATATATTTGGCTTTTGTACGACAAAAACAACTGGATTCACTGGTTTGGAAAATCATGTTGAATGAGTTCGTAGTCTTCCACGGCCGGAGTCAATGCATTCTTGGCTATCCGGGATGAGCCGCGTCTCGGGCAATGTTACTGACGTTTCAGCCCAAGGTCACAGCAAGATGGCCGAAACATCAGTAACACTGACCGAGACGCAGCTCATCCCGGATAACCAAGAATGCAATCATGTTGAAATTCAGTAGCAGTTATTGCTGAGCCAATTAGAATCTTGAAATATGCAAATTTGTTCACATTAAAGGGATGGATAACACTCTTCCAATAATGTCTTTGTTTACCTTGGATATTTGCAAGCAAAACTTGTGTAACTATTGATATCTGCAGGTTTTCAGATTTAACACTGAAATTAAAATATTCATGAAATATCAAAATACAACATCAGTTTCACAACTTCCTCATAAAAGTTGCTCTTTCCATCCTCTGAGATCTTGTCATTGGTTTGTGGAGTTTCCTGTGTGCAAAAACAATCTGACAGTCATTTGCATGCTCATTGGCCTAATCAATAGTTTTAATCAATTCCCTCACCACGTCTTTGAGATGTTGACTTACATTATAGATCTATAAGCCCTTGAATATCCCAATGCCTTCCACTTGCAGCTAATGGTTTGCCATTGCCAATGTTGTTGCTCCTGGGTAGCCATCTGAAGCACGTCAACAGGTCTGCAGTACACATTCTGGATTATTATCTCACCTGATTTATAATTATGGCAAGAAAACTGGATATAATGACTTGTATGTAATTATGCAAATGAAATTTAAATGCATTATAAGTAAATCTTAATTTATTTAAATTTTTTGGTAGAAGCACAATTTTGCTACAACTGCCACATGCTCTCATTGACCACTGGTGCATTCATAATTATGACATCAAACTCATTCCATTTTCTGTACAATGAGTCAAGAAAACAGATAATTTCATTGGGTAGTTACTATGAACAATCCTCCATTCCGAAATTCTATGAATTGTATTCTTGGGTAGATTTTTCCTAGCTAGAAGCATTTCTAGTTTAGCTAATAGCATTAATGGTCAGTGGCTACCTGCCACTTAATTTTCACTATGTGAATTTTTAAGCCATCTGGTGCTGAAGTATTTAAATATGCTAATGAATTCTTCTTACAAATTTCATTCATTTAATATTACAATTGAACTAATGAAATAATGTGTTTTTCATAGTTATTCCTGGTCATTATAATTTTTAATTGAAATGGAGTTACCTGAATTTATATTAAATGCCTTTGTATATTTTAGAATGATGGCCTTCGAACTTTTATTATTAGGGTTTGTCCATAAATTACATAACCAAAATGTGCTATATTTTCAATAACCCCCTTCCCATTACATAATAAGCTTCCAAAATCACTGTCAGCCATTTAAAGTAAAAATGAAATTACATCAGAGTATTAATTTAATTATCATAAATTTTAATACATAACACAAATAAAACTCTGAATTAGTTAGCAACGCTGACTGCACCTATCAATTAGGGGGCAATTTTTGAGTGAAAGAAGAACACAGATGTAAACATTTTTGACAAGCTGTTCAGATACTGACATTTAATGGAGTGGCAAGAGTCTACTGCACCAATTGAATTTGATTCTAGGATATACTATATATAATTTATTTGTTTTAAATTAATTAATGTTCTAGAGTAAGACTGAATAACGTGCTGAAATAATTCATGTCGAAAAAAATTAATGTGTTCTCACCACACTAATGCCTCACCTGTGAATAAAACTGCTCAAATACTCAATCATCCATAATTAAGACTGTTTCCAAAGCACATATATTTTGATTTATTTTGTCACCAAGTCCACAAGAAAGAAGCCTATCGAAATTAAGAAGTACTTAATATTTTGAATAAACAAGGTGTATCAAGCATGAATAATTGTCTCGCTTAATGTAGCAATTGTAAAATTTGAGAGATTTAAAATATTGTGATCCTCACTGAATGCTAGAATCTACAATATGTATCTCTAATACATTTTTTTGATAAAATAATGAAATAGGCAATTAGATAATTTCTGCTAGAACTATATAACTCAACGAAAGTTTTAAATAATTATTACCTGCAACAGGAACTGCAGAACACAGAATGGATGGTGCTGGAAATACACTCAATTATTTTGCAAGTGAAGAAATGAGAACTTTCTTCTCAATTATAGGGGTGTAAAGAACCTTAAAAATTTGTAGGTAAAATGTTTTTCAGCATCAAATGCTTTTCTCGGCTTTCAGGAAAAAAGGTGTTCATGTAATGGAAAAAGAATGTCTATACACTTCAGAACTTTATTGAATATTTTCAATATTCACTCATATCCTGTTTGTATGTACATATTTTTCTAGTTTAGTAATAAATATAGTTAATTTTCTTTTTCTTGTTAGAAGATTATTCTGAACATCCAGTTCCTTACTGAGAAAATTGTAAACATAAAAATTAACCTATCCCAGGTTACAACAATAACTGAACATTAAAGTACCTTTCATAACATCCAACAAAGTGATAAACTCTCAATGTTTTCACATATGTAGTTGATTGAAACAAAACATATCGAGACTAGCCTAATGCATTGTAAAATATCTCCTTTCCAGCACACACTGCATTATATGGTCATATAACAACCAAGAACAATGATCAAGAATGTTCACAAATACAGCAAGGGAACAAGGGAATTGAGATTGCAAATCTATTTTTGACACAGGAAAATACATGAATACACACACGCACACACAGAAAAAAATTGTTAAAATATCCAGAAATGGAATTGAACAGATCCTAGATTCAAATACGCAGTGTAGAATAAAACATTCTTACTAGGATAAACTTCTATTCCTGATCAAACAAATACACAACAAAGACATTAATATAATCTTGATATCTTTTCCCCAACATGTAGCTTTAAAATAGTATTTCTCAAACCTGTTCACACAAGGCAAGCTGCATCCTCACAATTCTAATCTACTCATTTTCCCCCTTGGTTCATTTGTGAGATCTGGCGGCTGGCATCTTAACGGCTGAATTTTGAAAGCAAGGAAGCCTAATTCAATGGTTGAGAAGCTAAGTACGTAGGTACTTGCACAAATTATACTGTAAGGCGTTCTCCTAAATTACACGGAAAGTGACACAAAGCTGTTGTATTGGGTGATGTTCCTTTTCAAGATGTCTGCACACAATCCCAGCACACGCTCAAATCTGAACACAAAAATAAAACATTTTTATCACTTAAGTTCTAAAAAGAAATATTTGAATACTATGACATAAGTAAAGGAAGCTTTTCCATCTTACTGCAACTAATTTTCAGTTACATTAAACAATGTCTATATGCTAAGTAATTTTTATTTTTCAATATTACACAATTTTAGAATTGGTACATACCTTGCTCGGTCCAGTTTGACACACTTCAATTGACCTTTGGCCACAACTGTTGCAGCTCTTGGTCGGTCCAAGAGAAGAGCAATTTCACCTGTAACAATCACATGAGAGTTTTTAATATATAATATTAATTTCACAAACAGAAGAGCCAAATAAGTGATAACTGAAGTAAATCAAATTCAGATAAAGTACTCTATTAAAATTATAATGTTAAGGATTAGAACATCATAAGAAATGTTCTTGAAGTCTGTGTATATTTGGGAAAATTGAAAATACGGTTTCAATTAAAATATTGTCTCAGTCCTCTCTGTAGCTAGTAAATATGACAAAACATTTGAGCCTTTAGGAGACAATTTGAAGGTACGAACATTAAATCACTTTAACAAAAAGATGAATTCAATTCATTCTCGTGAAGTTTATCAAATTTGAAATAATATATGGAATTTCATGAAATTAATTTCTCTGGAGTGAAAAGCAGAAGTAAGCTTTCATTACATAATATTTTAATAGTTATTAAGTACAACATACTATTGAGATTTCCAATAAAAAATTCCTTTCCCCCGCCCATAAGAACACATATCTTTAGAAGAGAATTTACAAAATTTACCTTACAATCATGTGAGTGTATACCTGTGATATTATTTTACTGTTCAATAAAATTTAAACTTGTATTTTTTAAATGTAATGTTTGAAGCATCTTT